CCAGTGGGGAGGGCCATCTCAGGCCTGCTTTCCTGTGGGAAAGGGAGTGCATCCGTTGGCTGATTATTGTTGGAGGGGCCTCGGTTGGGCTCCCTTGCCGCAGGTGCTGGGCTCGCCTGGTGTCGTCAGAGGGACCCCTGTTTGATCCGGGCGGGGAATGTCCCACCTTGGCTGCCTTCCTGGCTGGGTCAGGAAACACCAGGCCGGGTCACCTTATTTGCTTGAGTCGGGGGGGCGTGACACCTCGCACTGTGCTCTCCCCCAACCCCAGGGCCCCAAACCAGTTGGCCTTTTCCTTTTGCCACTTTTCAGATATCTGCTTTTGCTGTCGTTTGTGTAATTTCCAGGCTGTATAATTGTGTTTAGCAGGGAAGAGCAGGGGAGATGGGTTCACACCATCTTGCGCACATTGGAAGTCCAGCCGCCACGGTCTTTTGGGGACGCTTTCTACTAAACTCTGCCAGAGCTGGCTTTGCTTGCTTTCAGTTGACTATGCTAGTGGCAGGAAGAACCCACCGGGGGGCTGTCACATCGTCTCGGGCTGGCCCTGACGTCCGACGGGACTGAGGCCTTGGTGGGTGGTGGCGATGGTGGGGAAGGTCAGGTGACAGGACTGGGGTGGCGGGGGAGCCATGCTGGCACCTGGTGGTCGCTGCGCACTTCCTGCGCGTGGACGCTGCTCTGAGTGCAGGAGAGTTGTCTCCTTCCATCCTCACCCACGCCTCCCTGGGGTCGCTCCTTCTGCACTCTCCGCTTTACAGGTAGGGAACAGATGCACAGAGGTGACAGCAGGGCATCAGGCAGGCTGACCTGCAGCCTGTGCTCCTGACCAGCACACAGCTGGGATGACCGCTGCCCTCGGCAGTCACAGAAACGAGCTCACAGCCTTCTCACCACCCTGTGGCCAGGCCCTGCCCTGCCGTCCTGTCCATCATTCTCATCTGTGGAGCCAGACCTGGGAGCTTTCCCATCGGAGGGGTTCGGTGTCAGGTTAGAGCTGGAGCGTGGAGCCGAATGGCCAGGGGCCCGGTTCAGCTTTGCCACTGAACTGGTGTAGGGACTGGGGGTTCCGTGGCTGTGCAGCCACGTCAGCACCGTGCAGGGCCTTAGGAAGCTGAAATGCCTGAACGTTGTTGCCCCCATTTCTCTCTTGGCAGGGGTGGGGTCAGCCCTGCCGCAGATCCTGTCAGGGGGTGACCCTGAGCTCTAACGGCGGGGGTGGCCTTGCTCTTTGATGCTGGTCCCTGTGGATCCGCGCACCCACAGAGCAGCCTGAGGCCCCCGCCCACCCTGGAGCTCTGACACACCCTCACCTCCAGGGAGGGCAGGAGGTGCCAGCACATTTCTTTTTCAAGAAATTTAAATGAAAACGTATGATTTTCAGGGTGAGCTGTCCTACCAGCAAACGGTTTCCTCAGCCCTACGACCATAGAGGTGGGATGAATAGTAAAGGGAAATTGTGTCCAATACCGCCTGACACAGACGAGGCGTCCCGCTGGGGCCCCCGCTGGGCTCAGGGCTGGGTCTGGAGGAGGCACCACCTTTCCCATCCCTTTGTCACCACCTGAGCCGCCCGGGTCCCCAGCCCACGCGCATCGGCCAGGAAAGACTCAGGAGTGCGCACTGGTTTATGGCTTTATTGCTGAAGGAGGAACACCCCCGAGCAGGAGACCCCAGCCGGGGCCCGGAGGGGCCTGGGTCCCAAGAGGGGCGACCTTGGTCCTGGTGCCTCCTGACCCTGCTGATGGGGGAGACGGGTGACATCATCTGTCCCCAGAGAGGCCAAGGCTCCCGGGCCCTGAAATGGACACGGGGCTCTCCTGTGATTCCTGGGGAACCTGCTGGACCCTCGCCAGTGCCCCCTCCCTGGGCTGGGCCTGGAGGTGCAGGACGGCCCCTCCTCGGGAGAGGGACCCCCGCCTCCCCCCTCAGGTGGAGTGTCTGTCACCGGTGCCCGCTTCCGGGGCCTCCACCTTGGCCCCCGGCCCTGCCCAGAGGGAGCAGGGGGAGGTCAGCAGGCGAGTGAGGCCAGGACACAGGAAACGACCTCCCCAAAGGCCACCCCTTGAAAGTGGGCACACGGCCAGCAGCTCTGCAGTCGCCAGGAGAGACCCCAGGTTCCCGCCATTCCCGCAGGGGGACCCCAGGGTCTGAAGGGGGAGCCTGGGCTCCACCAAGACCCCCACCCTGTGCACGTGCCCAGGATGTGGGGCAAGGGGGTTACGTTACCTCCAGGGCACCGGCACCCTAGCTCACCTAGATGCGGCACTGCTCTGTGGGGGAGGGAGAGCCGTGCGGGAGGGTCAGGACGGGACTGGACGCCCCGGGGACAGGGGGGTCTGGCAGGGGGTGGGGAGGGGGCCCACCTCGGGGGCGCTGCGCCCTCACCCCCTTCCTCCCAGCAGCCCTGGGGAGAATGGGGGTCCAGTAAGGGGGGAAGATGCTTCCCTGATTCTCACCCTGGGCAGGGCTAAGTTCACCCTTCCTCTGGCTCAGGTCCAGGTTGAACCGCATGTGCTCGGGCAGAGACTCCAGGACTCTTTCGAATTTCTCCAAGACCTTGTCGTCCACTTGCAGGGTCCTGGCTGTGGGGGAGAGGTCAGTCCCTGGGGGCACCCCCACTACCCCCCTTCCCAGAGCTCGGGGACCCTGAGGCCCCCCCCAGGAGCGAGTGCAGGAAGGAGGCACTGATGCGCTGGGGTCTGTAGAGCTCGGTCTAGCCCTGCTTCCCAGGTGGCCCCGCCCCCTGCCCTCCAGGGCCCCGCCTCCTGCCCTCCCCCCCTCAGCCCATCTCCCTCCTCCTCCTCCCAGGGCAGCGCTGGGGGTCTGCACGGTCACAGAGGAAAGGCACCCCCCTCACCCCTATCCTGGTCTCCCCCAGTCCCCCTGGGCTGACTGACTTTTGACCAGGAGCCTCCACTGCCCGCCACGGCCACCTTGGGAGTATCGCCCTTATATTTACTTTGGTCAGAAAATCTCCCTTTAAAGCTGGTTGCATAACTGAAAGTGCTCTGAAGTCATCAAATATCTCCTCCTATAAGACTGTCGATGAATATTAGCCACTTGTACCAGCTGGTCGGTGAGGCCGCTCCACGCAGGGAGAAACCCCCGAGCCTCCTGCATCAGTCCCGCTGGCCTGTCCCGGACCTTGTCCCAAGCATCTCCTGCCCTGCACGTCATCCCACATCTGGCGGCCAGTGTCGGGCGCCACGGCTGGGACCTTTGCTAGCATGACCTGTAGGGGCCAGCGAGGCAGCCCCTCTCCCCTTCCTCCCACCAGGGGCCAGGAAGGTGCGGGGGAGCCTTGAGCGTCCCTTATTCACAGCTTGACCAAAGGCCACGTCTCTGACGAGGAGTGGCCCCTCCGGACACGCCCCGTGGGGTCAGCCACGTACACAGGCACTGGCACATCGCGCCGTGCTCATCGGTGGGCGTGGGGGCCTCCATGCAGAAGATCATGTAGGTGGTGTAGTCTGTGTCCAGCACGGAAATCTTTCTTTCCCCGTGATCTGGAAAAGGGGCCGAAATGGAGCCTGAAATTTTGTCTGAGTCCCTCCACCATGTCCGTCGGGGCACCCGGATCATCGCCTAGGAGCACTCTTT